GGCGGGGCCAGAGAGAGTGTGTTTTGTCATCACTAATGACAAGCACGCCTCCTCTCAAAGTGAGCATGTTGGTTCAATGCGCAGAGCTGCGCTGAAGAGCTCTGGCATTCGAAAAAGGCCCTGTATTTGTTCTGCGCAGCGCAAGCAAATTTAATAACATGCTTGCGCTGTGTTTGCTTTTAAATTGTCTCTGGTGTCTCAATAAGTGGGATACCAGAGGAAAAAAGGGCCAGGAAAGTGTATGGTGCATGTGTTTGGAGCCTGCTTGTGGGATTGCGTGTGTGTAGAGTGTGGTGTGGTATTGTGTAAATAGGTCAATTTCATTTGTGTTTGTGGTGTAATATGTGTGGCTAGGGGCTGTAGAGAGTGTGTGTATAGGGGGGCATAGTGTTATAGGGGATGTAGCGAGTGTGTGCATACGGGCTGTAGTGTGTGTGTATAGGTGACGTAGTGTGTGTAGGGGTTGTAGAGAGGGTGTGTTTAGAGAATGTTGTATGTGTTTGCTGACAAGGAATGTAGTGTGTGTGTAGGTGGTGCGGTGTGTGTGTAGGAGATCTAGTGTGTAAAGGACCCAGAGTGTGTATAGGAGATTGTGTGTGTGTGTGTGTGTGTGTGTGTGTGTGTGTGTGTGTGTGTATAGAGGATTATGTCTGGGGGTGCTGTGTGTGTCTGGGGGTGATGTGTGTGTGTGAGTGTGATTTTTTAATTTAAATTATTATTATTTTTTTATTAATAATAATAATAATAATAATTTAAAAAAAAGTTATATTCCCCCCCCTCCCTTCTTACCTTTAGCCTGGGAGGGGGGGGAACCGTTTTGCCTGGGACGGGGGGGAGCCGTTCCGCCATGGGAGAGCCATGCTGCCTGATCCCTGGTGGTCCAGTGGTGAGCGTGAACTCTAGCCTGTAGGTGACGTAGTGTGTGTAGGGGTTGTAGAGAGGGTGTGTTTAGAGAATGTTGTATGTGTTTGCTGACAAGGAATGTAGTGTGTGTGTGTGTAGGTGGTGCAGTGTGTGTGTAGGAGATCTAGTGTGTAAAGGACCCAGAGTGTGTATAGGAGATTGTGTGTGTGTGTGTGTGTGTATAGAGGATTAAGAGTGCATATAAGGTAAGGGATCTAGCGTGTATCTGGAGAGTAATGTATGTAGTGCTGTAGTGTGTGTGTGTGTGTATATATATATATATATATACATATATATATTTGGACGTATTGTATGTGTGAGGGGCGCAGTGTGTGTGTATGTAAGAGGGGTGCTGTGTGTGAGGGTGTTTTTATCTGCCGTCACATTCTAATTTTCTTTGTTAACTCACTGAGGGTTATTTTATATATTATATATATATATATCTGTAAATATATATATACATACATACACACACATATATATATGTGTGTGTGAGCGAGGGTGCTGTCTGTCTGAGGGTGCTGTGTGTGAGTGAGGGTGCTGTGTGCCTGAGTGCGCTGTGTGTGTCTGGGGGTGCTGTGTGTGTCTGGGGGTGCTGTGTGTGTCTGGGTGCTGTGTGTGTCTCGGTGCTGTGTGTCTGTGGGTGCTGTGTGTCTGTGGGTGCTGTGTGTGTCTGGGGGTGATGTGTGTGTCTGGGGGTGATGTGTGTGTCTGGGGGTACTGTGTGTGTCTGGGGGTGATGTGTGTGTCTGGGGGTACTGTGTGTGTCTGGGGGTGCTGTGTGTGTCTGGGGGTGATGTGTGTGTGTGAGTGTGATTTTTTAATTTAAATTAATTATTTAATTTTTTTATTAATAATAATAATTAAAAAAAAAGTTATATCCCCCCCCCTCCCTTCTTACCTTTAGCCTGGGAGGAGGGGGGGGAACCGTTTTGCCTGGGACGGGGGGGAGCCGTTCTGCCATGGGAGAGCCATGCTGCCTGATCCCTGGTGGTCCTAGTGGTGAGCGTGAACTCTAGCCTGTAGGCTAGAGTTCACTCTCGCGAGATCTGAGCGTTGCCGTGGTAACGCTCAGAATCCCGCGAGAGGACCCGGCGGAGCTGCTGGATAGAGCTCCGCCGGTCCTCTCCTCCCTCCCTCCCTCACACCCCAGCAAGCGGCCGCCTGGAAGTGTCTCTGGGCCGGTAAAGGGAGATCTGTGATCTCCCCACCGGACCATGGAGGCACACAGCGGGGCCGGCGCTCGGGTAGCGCTGGCCCTGCAGGAGCCGGCCGGGGAGATCCTGTGATCTCCCTGCCGGCCTCGGCCCCACGGCCATCGCGGCCCACCGGGCATTTGCCCGGTATGCCCGATGGCCAGTCCGGGCCTGATAGTCACTCACAGTCACAGGCAGAGAGTTACACACACACACACACACACAAACACACTTACAGACAGACACACACAGTTACAGGCAGATAGTCTCACACACACACACAAAGTTACAGGCGGCAGACAGTCTGACACACACACACACACACACACACACAGTCACACACACTCTTACTTACAGACAGTGGGCTGGAGGAGGACTGGATTACCTGAAGACTGAAGTCCTTCTCTGAAGCCTGTGGAGAAGCAGAGATTCCATCTTGCTGCACCTCCTAACAGCAGCGGGTAAGGGCCGTATTAAGCCCCGCCCCTGCTGCTGTTTGGCTCCGCACCAATTTTGCTTAGCTCCGCCCCCATGTTTCCTCCGTGCGGCCAGTTCAGGAGCTGTTCTGGCCGCCCGGCACCCTAACTACCATGGGGCACTGTGCGGCCACAGCTCACACAGCCCCCTCCAGCACCCAGACCAGGGTCATGGCACCCCCCACCCTGGTGGTACCCGGGGCGGACCACCCCCTCCGCCCCCCCTCCTTAGTACGCCACTGGAGAAACCACATTCAATACTAAAAGTGGGCATTACGAGTATACAGTCATGACTTTTGGCCGTTGTAATGCACCTGCTGTATTCCAAGATTTCATTAGTAATGTCCTCGGAGACACATCCTTTTGTAATAGTGTATTTAGATGACATATTGATCATCATACACGTCATCGGCACTTCTTAATAATGGTCTCAACTGTAAATTGGGAAAATGTCTATTTGATCAATCTGAAGTACAGTTCTTAAGTTATGAAAAAGAAAAAGAACGGCAGATCCTCACAATCACAGTAAACGTGTGAAAATGTGGGATCTGTCCTAAAGGATGCCTACCACAGAGCTACTAAGTAGGGGGTAACCCAAAATGTAATAATGCAGATAGAGGAGACCCTTGGAACAAGGGGATCCCAGTGGTAGCTCTGAATGCACAGAAAGAAACAGTAACCAGATGATTACAGAGAAGGTGGATACAGACACAAATGGGTAGCACAGAGATAGAGGTAAAAGGGTATATACATGTAGAGGACCCTGCCTATACCTATAATAGAACGAACTATACACACTGAAACTTGCTGCCCGCAGGAGAAAAAAGCCCCCCCACAGACAAGTGGCACAGTTACACCAGAGATAGAAGGGTAAAAGATCCCAAAACACGTCCCAGTATCGGTTGAAGGTACCGTATATACATATATATATATATAGAAAAGGAAGGAAACCCTTCCTATACCTAAAGTAACTCAGACTGTACAGACTGAAACTTGCTGCCCACAAAAAAGAAAGAAAAAAAACGTGCCCACACTGGCGTCAAGTTAATGAATAGGAGTCCTGCCTAACAAAGTAGTGTAGTCATCTAGGGTGAATGATCCTAACCCCAATGGTAAGTCCAGGACTACCCCGCAGGACTAAGCTAGACTGACTTGAAACGCCACTAATCTGAATGCTGGTTAAAAATGCTAAATACAAACGAAAACTTAACTGAACATAAAAACTGCCTAAGTGCTACCTAGGGAAAAAAATAAATAAAAATGAGAAATGCTCGACGCGCGTTTCGGCGTGAATACACTCCACCGTCAGGAGTTACTAAATGTTCAAGCCCCAAAAAGCCGGTAAATATACATCCCTAATAAGGGAAAACACTTATAGCTGGTCCAGCACACAGCCTATCCAGGAGGGGGATGACGGATGACATTTAGTCGCCACACCCCCTCTGAGCGTCATATCACATAGTCCGTTATGATTGGGTGGTAACAGGATCAGTCACCGTAAGGAGATGGTTGAACACACCTCCTCTCAGCGTCATAGCCTAACATGAAAATGATTGACGGGTGACGTGGTTCGTCACGCCTACTGCCAGCGTCAAGGCATACAGACAGTTCCCATTAACCCCTTAAGGACACATGACATGTGTGACATGTCATGATTCCCTTTTATTCCAGAAGTTTGGTCCTTAAAGGGTGTGGTGAAACCAGCCTCGCCACTGGGCATTGGAGAAGACTGATTGCCAGACTCCTGCCCTGTGACTATAGCCCTATGTTGAAATGCTTGATTTTCCCCTGCAAAGACCCGAAAGCCGGGTCATTCGGTACTTTCCCTATTTGAACAGTGATACCCCAGATAGCTATGCCATGGAGCCCATTCGTATAACGAAAGACTATGTGAAAGACTTTGGCTCCATGGCAATTGAACTGTATGAATGCAATCTGAACGCCATTCAGTAATAACGTGCGCTCA